CTAGGCAGGGAATCGCCGACTTCCGGAGGGCGTCCGCCAACGAAGGGGACGAGCCTGGCAGGGACGCGGGGGGGGCCCCACGTACCCCGATCGACCACGGCAGGTCGCGAGGGCTCGAGCTGGACGCATTGCTCGCCAGGGGCCCTGCGCTCGCAGCAGAGGCGCTCTGAGTGGTTTCCGCCGGCGCCGAAGATGGACCTGGCGGGGATGCGGGGGGATCCGCGCGAACCCCGAGCGACCGCGGCGGGTCGCGAAGGCCCCAGCGAGCCACTCCGCTCGCAGGAAGCCCCGCGTTTGCAGCAGTGACTCCTTTGAACGACAGCGGGGGCTCGCCTGCGGAGGCAGCGGGAACAGAGGCCGCGGTGGAGCCACTCGACGCGACCCCACTTCCTCCGCTACCGAACGCGGCTGCGGCGGGCAAAGGAGTCGCCTGGCGAGCAGTCGCTGCGACAGCCCCCAGAGAAACAGCGGCGACGGCGGCGGGCGCCGTCGCAACCGCCGCCTCGTGACGTGGAGGGGCTAACAGAGACAAGGTCGCATCGCCGAGTCGCCCGAGCGAGCGCAACCCTTCGCGGGCGCTTGACTGGGGAGGTGGCCCTCCGGCAGCTGGCGCGCCGACACCGCCCTCGAGGTTAGTGAAAGGCAGGAGCCCTGCACGCTCACCATACCACATGCGCCCACGGGCAGCGCCCGCCCGAAGTGAGGCGGGACCAACCGCGCTACGGTGGAGCGGCGGCGGCGCATGAACATCCGCTTCTGGGACGGCAACTCCGGACGGTGGCCTCAGTTGCCTGGCCTGGGAGGGCGAATCCCCGGAGACACGATGCCAGTCCGCGCTCAGGGGTGTTCCGCTGGCCGCGCGGTCACCGTCGGCGACCGTGAAGCGCTCGGACAGAAGTGGCGACGCCGCAGTGCACGGCATACTCCCGCTGCTAAACAGCTGCACCCCATCCGAGGCAAGGGCCGCGCGGAGGGCGACCAAAGGCGGCACCCGTGAGCCTGCTTCGGAGCCGGAGAGGCCTGGCGGCGGATCCACACCCTGAGTGTCGGAGCCCGTGTGCAGGTCCCACAAGTGGAGGTCGGCGCGTAAGGCCGAGGTGGCCCTGGGGCCGCTCCGCGGCGGGGTGCCAGGCTGGTGGACTGCGGTGGCGGCTGGGGGGGCGGTACGAGCCCCTCCCTGCGGGGCCGTATCAGCATCGCTGGCAGGGCGCATGCCAACCCCTTTCGAGCCACACCGCGGCGCCGCCCCCGAAAAGGAGGGACTACCCCCGTCAAGGCCGCAGTCGGACATGGCCGCCGAAGAACCCCGAGGAGGGACGACGGAGCACCCCGCCTCCACCAGGGCCAACGCACCGCTCCAGGGGCGACCCTGTGGCGGCGGAGGCGGCGTCCTCAGTAGAGGAAGCGCGGCCTCTGACGCCGTGGCCCCAGGTCGGACCTGATAGACGACCGTGGGGCTCCAAGCCGCAGCAGCGCCACGGCGCGGGCATGCCGCACTGAGCCTCTGGGAACCAACCTCCAAGACGTCAAGGCCCGGAGGCGGCCCAATCTGCCTGACCGGAGGCCCAGGAGGCAGCGGGTCCAAGCCTGGAGGTGCGCGAATGTATCCGCCCCCGGCGGTCCGAGCAGCATCGTCGGCAGAAGTGGCCGCGGCGATGCCTCCAGCCGAAGGCCAGGAAACCGAGGCGGCGGCAGAGCCCGTGTGCCCCGCGAGTGACGCTCCCCCGCCCACGGTGGAGCAGGCGGGGCCCACAAAGTGGTCGCCATGCTTAGCGGCACAGGTGAGCCAGGTGGCGAAGTAGAGGCAAGGAGAAGGAGTTGGGGGGAGGTAAGAGAGATCCTCGTCCACCACTTCCCTTCCCAAGAGCGCAGTTATCTTCGCAGGGCACCCCTCTGGTGCTTCGGCGTTGAACACGCTGGCCTTGGGTTCGCTGGCAGCAGGAATGGCGGGCATGGCTTGCGCGGCGGCTGAAGCCCTTGGGCGGCGCGTCGGAGCGCCTTTGGCCACCGTGCCCTCCGTCGGGCGTCTCTGTCGCGGCGGCTGAAAGTCTTGCGTAGAAGCGGCGGCTGAGACCCCAGGCGCGGCGGCACATTGAACGCCCGAGACGAGGGCTGGCGCTGCGCCACGACGCAAGGCGTGGCGCTGCGGCGTGTGAGGCCCCCCTCCTACTCCTCTCCTCAGATGGGCCTCCTGCTCCGCCGCCCCAAAGGCCAAGGGGGAGAAGGCGAAGGAGGAGGGAGAGGAGTTTTGCGCCGAAGTCGGCGTGGAGAGCGCCGAAGACCACCAGACTGGTGCAGGCTGGAGAGACCTGCCAACGGCAGGACGTGGCATGGGCCCTGTCCGCACCGCCCGCCGAAGAGCGAGCGGCGACGGTGCTAGCAAGGCCCGGTGGCCACGGCAGGCAGGGTGCCGAAAGGCGCGCCTGCCCGACCGACCACCGCTCAGAACGGACGGTCGGCCCCGACGCTCGCTCTCGTCGTACGGGCCACAGGCGCCGGCCCGACCGACTTGGGCCAGCGCGGGGTGGCGAACCCGGAGCCGACGATCGCCGCGTAGGTGTCGAGGAAACCTGAACGGCGATGGCCCCGCGGGCCCCTGGCGCCCCGGCCGCGCGCGCGCGGGGAGGGGAGTGGGGGGCGAGCGGGGCAGCTATCGGGCCGAGAAGCTGCAGACGACTGCGTAGCGGGCGCGAATGGGGATAGAGAGGTGCATGATGACGATGATGATGATGATGACGACGACTATGATGATGATGCTGCTGCTGATGATGGTGATGATGATGATGACGATGACGATGACGATGACGATGACGATGATGATGATGATGATGATGATGATGATGATGATGATGATGATGATGATGATGATGATGATGATGAACTACACCCAACAAGTGTTCAAAAATGGTAAAACAGTCGCCCCCGGACTATCTTTTGACTGGAGAGGACACGCGAGAGGACACAAGACCCTTCCGAGGGCCACGTCGCCACAGAAATGCAGGAGGCACGGGTCGCGAGACACAAGACACGAGGGTACCCTTGATCTGGCAGGGTCGACCTACTCATCCGGGCCGCTTGTAGTGGCGACTCCCTCTTCCCCCTGTTCCTCTCCATACTCCGCCCCTCCCTCTCCTCCTCCTGTTCCTTCTCCGATTCCTCCTCCATCCTCCCCCTCTTGGGGTACGACGTCATCCTCCATCCTCCATCCTCCCCCTTTACTTCACTGCATGCTCCTCCGCGTGCTTGATCAGGCAACTCGCCTAGGCATCGTTCCTGGATGGGCTGGTGGGGTCACGCGAAGAGTCTAGAATTGAAGATACCGTTCACTGATCGGCCCTCCATTGGGAAGTCGAGAGAACCGAAGAAATCATAATGCATTGCGGCGCGTCGGAACGCGTCGTCGTTCTCGCCGCCAACTCTCTTTGAATGCATCCGGGAACGGTCTGCGTCGTCGCCGTCGCCGTTGTCGTTGATGCCGTCGTCTTCGCCGTTCGCGTCGTCGCCATTGTCGCAGTCGCCGCTGTTACCGCCTTCGGCATCGTCGCCGGCATCGCGCAAGTGGCAGCGACGTCGTCATCGCCGTCGCCGCCACCAACCGTCGCCGCCCCCGTTGCCACCGCTGTCGCCGCCGTCTCCGTCGTCATCGTCACCGTCGACGCTACCACTGTCGCCGTCGTCGCTGTCGCCGTAACGGTGACGACAAAGACTCCGATTCGTCGTCGTCGTCGCCGTCGTCGTGACCGTCGCTGTCGTCGTCGCCGCAGCCGTCGCCGCCATCGGCGCCGTCGTCGCCGCAAAGGCGACGACACAGACGGCGACGACAGGAATGTCGACATCACAAGCTGTAACACTCATGGCATCGTGGGTGGACAGACACCCCTTTCAGCAAGACACCCTTGACTGAAAACGACCCTGGTTCCAGACCACCTGCTTGGCGCAAGTCCGCAACAACTGCAAACGCAGCGCCCTGTCGAGAACCAGACAAGCGCAATGCGGTATATTAATCGACTTGGAAGAATTGTGGTTCCATCAATTCCAGCATTTCTACAGTTCCCGAGGATTTCTACAGCTCGTGGATTTCTACAGCTCAAGGAACAAAGGCCCGTGCATTTCTACAGCTCCCGGGGAGCGGGGCTGTAACATTCGAGAGCAAGGGGCCGGCAGAACTCTAGAACGCGGGCAGCGGGTGGGGGAGGCGCCGGCGGCCGTCACCTTATTGACAACGCCCATACACACATACATCGCTCTATACATATATATATATATGTATGTATATACAGAAACAAATTCAAATCTAGAAATCGGTGTATATATATACAGACATAAATCGAAAAATATGTGTATATATATAAACATGCATACATACCCGACATCAAAGACAGGCAGTTGCACCAAAGGCGCCGCTTGGGCCAGAATCTGCCCGAAGGAGCACCTGACTGCACCAGGATGGGCCCTTGGTGAGCCCCCATGTGCCGCTCAAACGCAGTGCCGCAGCACGTGCGGCATGTCTTCTGTTGCGTTTTCTACTTGATTACTTCTTCGCTCTTGCAAGCAACATCAGATGACAGCGACGTGTCCGCCTGATATTGGAAGCGGAGGGGGGGTATGGGTGCGGGTGTGGAAGAAGAGAAGGAAGGACGAGGACGAAAAAGAGAGAAGCACGAAGACGAACGCGGAAAGATGGGGGGGCCCTTCTCGCACGTTTGACGGCTCGATACTGCGTAGTCGATGGCCCCCTTGAATTCTCGACCCCGTGAAAATAACTGTTGATCGAACATGCTTGTCTGACGGCTTCGTGGCCTGGAAACGTCGTCCAGGCCTGGCGCGACTTCTCTAGAAGAAGCACTGCTGAACTGTCGGAGGTCTGCGCGGATTTCGAACAGCTGCGCTGGAGCCCTCTGGCGACGCCGCCGGCGCCGATCCGATAAATGCGTGCCGACCTCCGACAGTTCATGTCGCCAGAGCTCTGGGGGATGATCCTCCTCCTTTCGGGCCACGGCCTTTGCCGCCGAAGCCGCCCATGTCGCCGAACATGTCCCCGAAGCCACCGCCCATGCCGGACATCTCGGCGCGGCTATCGGGAGAGGAGGGAGGGAGAATGGATGAGTGAATCAGCTCATGCGTTCCTCGGAAATTTGGCCAGACGAGCAACTAGAGCCTCGTAACGGAAGCTAGGATTCTGAGGCAGTGTCCCCCGAAACCCGCCCCGAGACGCACGCGCAGTCCACCACCGCGCTCTGCAACAGGCAGCGCGAGCCAGACCCGCACTCAGGCCGAAAGAGGGGCCTCCCCCTCGGGCTTCCCATTGGGCGTCCCCTTGGGCGCCCCCCCCCTCGGGGGGTGTTCCCTCCTCGGGTGCCCCCTCCTCGGGTGTTCCCCTTCGGGTCCCCCCCTCGACGGCCCCCATCCGCGGCATCCCTCGGGTGTCCCCGACTCGGGTGCCCAGGTCGGCGGCTCCCATCCGCGGCATCCCTCGGATGTCCCCCACTCGGGTGCCCTCGCCTCCCCCCTCCGATTCCCCCCTCGGGCGCCCTTCCTCGGGCGCCACCCCCTCGGGTGCCCCCCCCCTCGGGTGCCCCTCCGCAGGTGCCCGCCCCCCCTTCCTCGGGCGTCTCCCACCCCCCTCCCCGCACTGGACCGTGAGGAATGATGACGAGGACGACGATGGCGACGACGGCGGCGGCGACGACGACGACGACGATCATGCTGACGAGGGCCCCCAGTCGAAGACCTCGACCGACGATGGCTGGCGGCGAGGGCGGCGGCGACCAGGACGAGGCCGAGGCAGCGAGGCCGAGGACGGCAACGGCGGCGGCGACGATGACAAGGACGAGGCGGCGAGGCGCCTGCAAGTCGGCGGCGTGGCCGCCACCCTCCTCCTCCTCCTCCTTCTCCTCCTCCTCCTCCTCCTCCTCCTCCTCCTCCTCCTCCTCCTCCTCCTCCTCCTCCCTCTCCTCCTCCTCCTTCTCCTCCTCCTCCTCCTCCTCCACAACCGTCGGCTTCTCGGTTGCCCGCAGCAGGCCGCCGAATGCCTCCCTCCGCCTCCTCGGCGGCAGAGCACCTCGGATCGCCGGGCTCGCCACGCCCGAGCCGGACCGAGCACAAACGCCGAGACGGGCGGCAAACTCCACAACGACGAACCGCACCGAACGGGACCGAACTGGAGGCACTTCGGAACCGAACCGAACAGGAACTTCCCCTCGGGAGCAGAACAACCACCCTCATCATAAGCACCCCGACAAGCAAAGACGTTTAGTAAACACACCCATAGAAGGAATCGAACAGGGCAGGGCTGTCTAGTAAACGCCCAGGGCCGTTTGGTAAACGCCAACTATCGGGGTCGGGGGGGGGGTCCCCACTTGATTCCTGTCTCCGTCGCCGCGCAGCACAGACTGCCGGGAGCCGGCGTTGCTGTTGGGGGACTGGGTCCACCCCTGGCTCCGCAGAGGGCCTGAGCTTTATAACTGAGCATTGCCACTGCCACGTGTGCCGCGCCAGTGCACGGACAAGACTTGGCCCTTCCTCTTCCTGCCGCAGCCGCGCTGCCCGATGCTGTGTGATGATGCCTTGCCTCTGCTGCTGCGGCCGCTCTCATTCGAGAGGCCCCTCACGCGATCCGTGCCTCTCCCCAAGGAGCTCTAGGGTGACGCCGCCTACAGTCAAAACTGGTAGCAAGGCTGCGCCATAAAGATCCCAGGGCCTTAAACGCCCATGCCTAAGCTTTTCGAGTGGGGCTGAGCATGAAAAGTGGTGGAGGATGGACCGAAGATCACCGAAGAGGCAAGGATTCAAGATACCCTTGGGAAATCGCTCATCCTCACTATCGATCTCGACTGTACGGTCGACAAACTCCTCGCGCGTTGCGTGCCCTTCCAGGAATTCCTAGCTGCAGCCCTCAGCCGCGTGCGAGGGTGCCGCCGCCACTGCCGCTTTTGATTGGCACCCCCCTCACGCGGCTCGTGCCCATGTATAAGGCCGCGGACAGCTCTATTTGGTACACCGCTCACGAGTTACGTGCCATCGAGTGGAGAAGTTTTGCTGAACACATCGCAAACCACGATAATGAGCGTGATTGCCGGTAGCATTCAGCAGCACTATTTTCCTACGTTGCACGTGGTCCCCGGCGCCTTGGCGTCTTTTTCGCCTTTCCCTGTTTTCGACTACGCGCTTCGGCGTATGGCTTAGCGCAGCGCAGCGTAGCGGTGAATTCCGACTACAGCCCCAGTGAGGGGCGCGAATGTGCGGCCGATGCGTCCACCGGCACACCCCTCTTGCGCATCATGCCCCCATAGAGCTCCCACTACGAGGCCCCGCCTCAATCTTGAACACCCCTGGCACGCTTCGTGCCCCAGCACCAGGAGCCCAAGATACGGCCTCAGTGAAGCGCTCGATCCATCCCACAGTCCTAATTACAATTCCCTCCCTCCCTCGCACTTTCCCCCTCCCCCCGCTGTCTCCAGATTTGGAGGGACAATCACCCTGCGAGGGGTGGGCGATTGGGCGCCCCCCTGCGCATCCATGCGCCACATGTAATTGCAAAGTGTTGCGCCCTTCGCCAAAAGCGAAAAGGATGGTTATCTATCTTGAAATGCCGGCCCGTGCTCAACCAACATAATCCGCCACCGCGCCACTTGGGACGTTGAGGCGTGGTGGAATGTCACTGACTGCCTGGTAGGGTTTCTGGGGAAACCAAAAGGTACCGATACCGCCACTCCCCGGACCTTTCCCAGGGTGTGTTCTGACCAGGATTTCGAAGCGACTGCGAGGGCCTTCCAGGAGGCCCAAGAAGGGAAAAGCGAGGGAAGGTTAGACGTATGGGTCCCTCTTCCTGGGCATCGCTCGGACGTCCATTCCCTGTGTTTTGTTCGGTTTCGTGCGTGGCTTGTTCGCCAAATGATCAAGGATGCTCCTCGATGATCCTCGCCGAAGGAAAAATGCACACGTCCGAGCGATGCCAAGTTTCCTCCTCTGATGGCAGGGTCTCTGTAAGTCTTCCAAGAGCTCCCCCTAACGACCACCCCCCAGGTTCGCTGGGTGCCACGCCGCATGCCTGGTGCTTTCGAAGGCTGCCGACGGCCTCCAGGACGGACCAGGAACGTCACCAAGGCCGGCAAGATGGCCCCACACTGCCGCAGTTGGCAGCCGACAGCTCCCAAAAAGAACCCCCAAAGGCGCTAAAGGAGCCCCAAGAGCCCTCCAACACATCGAAGCGAATTCCAGTAAGGCCAAACTCATTCAACACACAAGGGCATCTATAGGCTTTTGCATATGTTGCGCTTCCGTGGCCGCCACCAGTCGCCGCCACGAAAAAACAGACGACAATCACCACGGAAGCAAAGGGCTCCGAGCCCCACTGCGCGCTGTGCAAGCGAATGAAGGGTCTGAATGCCATAGGAGCTGGCCACGGGCGGGGGGGGCCGGGACGGGCGGCAGGTGGGCATGGCCCCGGACCAGTGGGGAGAGGGCCACGGCCTGAGGAAAGGGCAGGCCGCGGGGCTAAGGATGGCAGCGGGGAGGGGGCGCGGAGCAGGTGGGCGTGGCCCCGGCCCAGGGGAGCAAGGACCACGGTCTGAGCGGGGCACGGCGGGAGGGGGGGGGCGAGGGCAAGCGACCACGGACGAAGGAGGACAGCGAGGCCCGAGCTCTGGAGAACAGCCGTGCTGGAGAATCAAGGCATCCAGAAGCCGCCCAGACGGCGCAGAGGATAGCGCCGAGGGAGCCCCAAATGCGGCTCAAGAGGGCTCCAAGAGTCCCGCGAGGGGCCCGAGATGGTCCAACACAGCATGGGGACGGCTCAAGATTGCCCCAAAGAGGGCCCAAAGAGGGGCTCAAGTTGTGGTCCAAAACAGCATCAGGACGGCTCAAAGCGGGCTCCAAGAGCCCCGCGAGGGGCCCGAGATGGTCCAAAACAGCATTATGACGGCTGAAGAGGGCCCCGAGAGGGGCAAAAGGGGGTCCCAAGATTGCCTCAACAGGATGCCCGAAGAGGGGGACCACATGAGCCCAACACAACGCCAAGACGGCCCAGGCAGCCGCCAATGAGACCTCCTGATGAGAAACGATCGGCGGCGAGCGAGGGGAGGAAGTGAGAGGGAAAGGCCTTCTCAGAAGGCGGCAGGGCTTCTCAGGAGCCTCCCGCCCTTCTGAGAAATGTTCAGTGTCTTCGGGGAAGGCTTGGGAACCTTCGCAGAAGGCCGGGGGACTTCCGAGCATTCTGAGAAGGCCCGCCCCTTCTCACTCCCCCCCTCCCCGCAGACTCGCCACGGAAACGAGAGGTGAGACACACCATGGCCTTTGGTGCTCGAAGTGTCGCCGTCCAGAACCCTGAACTGGCATGGGGGCGGGACTTGCTACAAGCACACGAATACTTCCAAAACTGCATGCGCACACTCTACCGCCAAGCCAGGTTGCTCTCGTGCGAATCCCGGCGGGGACCAGCTGGAGCAAAAAATGACAGCGGATGTCGGCAGTCGCGCTATAAACAACAGCCTGCACACTGGGGTCCATCGTCCTCGCAGCAGTTACCGGCTGAACACGCGCACCTTCGTGAGCGTGCGTAGTGTGGCAAACGATGAAAGTGCAGACTAACTGCACTGAAGTACACTCACTGGTCAATGAATAACTTGAACGGGTGGCAACTATCGCTTCACTGTTGACGTTGCTGCACTGGCGTTCATACATTCGACCACTGCTGCAGGTTTGATGCGAGGCGGCAAGAATGCGACTACATTTCCATCTCTGTATAATTGGCATGTGGCATAGATGCGCGAGCAGTGATAGGCTCGGCCCAGACGCCATCCGCAGTGTGCGCCATCACCGTCACGTCACCCAACCCGTGCTCTACGAGCAGCGACCGGGCCGATGCGAAGGGCGCATGTGCAACTCCGTACTGGTCCACCTGGAGGACGCAGTCGGGGAACTCGCCGGACTCGGCGCGGGCCCTGAGCAGCTCCGGCAGGAGCAGCGACACGGCATCCACCGTGCAGCCGTACTCCATGCCCTTGAGCTCGGCGACGGCATGGGTTACCAGCCTCGAACGTATCCCTATCCCTAAGATTGACACGCCAAAAGGCGATGACAATCCTAAGGATGCGCCATCAAAAAATAAGGGAATCCCTGAGATTGGCATCGTGATGGGGAGGTGCCCAGCATAGGGATAGGGATATGTTCCAGGCTGGTAATGGGTGCGCCCGCTGGGCCACCGCGCCGCCGCGGCGAAGAGCACGGGGAAGATGGCCTTCTGCTGTCCCTGCCGCCGGGCGCAGGCCAGCGCGGCAGCGTAGGCCGCGGCGAAGCGGGGCTCGGCCGGTGGCCCCACCTTCAGCTCGGAGGCTCGCGTCGTACCGCTGACTGGCCATCGCTCGGACGTCCATTCCCTGTGCTTTTTTTCGAGTTCGTGCGTGGACTCTTTCGCCAAATGATCAAGGATGCTCCTCGATGGTCCTCGCCGAAGGAAAAAGTGCACACGTCCGAGCGATGCCGAGATCGGCGACGGCGGCGTGGAGAAGATCGGGTTCCACACTGCGCCGCATCGCCGATGCACTGTCGACGGGGCGCGACTCTCCGACCTCGTCTGCCCGGGCCCCATCTGAGGGAGGCCTACAGTCAAAAACCCTAATAAGGACGCGCGGTAAGGACGCCCGACCCTCGGAAGCCGAAGTTGGGATTTTTAGGGCGGCGGACGACGAACACCCCAAGGACGCAAGAAGAAGGAAGAGCAAGGACGCAAGGGTACCCTGAGCAAAGTCGCGCGTCCTTATTAGGGTTTTTGACCGTAGATCCGAACACCGCAGAAGCACACACTTTCGGAGCTCCGCGCGGATTTCTCGGATCGGCGCCGGAGGCGCCGCCAAGGGGGGCCCCAGCGCAGAGCCAAGATCCTCGCGGAGCTCCGAACGTTCATGCTTCTGCGGGATTCTCTCATTCGACTGGTGGCCCCACCTTCGCCTCAAGGGCCCTTCGTAGAAGCCTGCCTCCAGGCCCCCCTGAGAAGCCTCATGGGGCCCCTCCGAGAAGGCCCCCGCCTTCGAGGTCCCCCGCCTCCCGAGAACGCCACCCCCCAGCGCGCTATCCCCCTGCGCGCCGCCGACCGCCTTCGCCTCCAGGGACTCCCCCAGGGCCTTCATCTCGTCCTGGGGCGACGAGACCCGTCTCTACACATCCACCGCCGCTGGCCAGGCTTAAGTCGGGCCTGTCCCTCCCAGGAGGAATATTCAAAAATAGTAGCAGAAACAGTCTGGGGACAACTTTTTGATCATTTTTGAACATTTTGGGTGCATATCTGGAGCATTTTTTATTTTTCGTCCAAGATCCCCCTGTATCGGCAGTGGGCAAACCTCCCTTTAGTAAACCTCCCTTTAATGAAAACGGCCTAGCACCGAAACCGACGGACCTGGACCCGCAAAAAGGACGGCCGCGACGCCCCCTCGCGAACCGAAAACGGCCAATTCCTCAATCGACGTGTCAGGGTGGGAGGTCTGTCCACCTCCGAATCTAAGGCCAGGCCCGTCCTCGGTCGGGCATGTCCCTCTCAGGAATAATATTCAAAAATAGTTTTTGTTTAACAATAATCTTGGGACGATTGTTTGACCATGTTTGAGCATTTTAGTTGGTATGTTTCGAATATACTTAATTTGTCGTCCAGAATCCCCCTGTATGGGGGACAGGCCCGACCTAAGGCCAGGCCCGTCCTGGGTCCGGGAGCGGTGTGCACGCCCCCCGAGACGCGGCCAGGCGGGCGCACGTGAGGGACACCGGCAATATTGCACGAGCGTGCAAAGCTCGGAGCTCCGCGCGGACTCCTCGGATCGGCGCTCGGCCCCCTCTGAGTACCTGCCAGAGCACCCCAACCCAGCCCGAAAACCTGAATTTCGGGTTGGGGGGCGGGTAGGGGTTACACACGTGCTCTGTCGATGTTTCCCGACCGCCCCCCACTGGAAATCGAAGGTAAATCTGAGCCTTCGGGTTGGGTTGGGGTGGTTTGGTGGGTGGTGACCCTCCCTGGCGCGCGGAGCGCGCCAGGGGCGGCGCCGGAGGCGCCAGCAGAAGGGTTCCAGCGCAGATCCAAGAAATCCGCGCGGAGCTCCAGAAATTCATGTTTACGCAGCGTTGTCTCCTTCGCGGCATCTGCGCCGATTCTGGGCCCAGGATGGGCCTGACCAGCGGCGGTGGATAACCCCACGCCCCCGAGAGCAGGCCTACCTCCCCCCCCTGCTCTAGGCTCCTAGCTTCACCCCTGTGTCACGATTATGCTTGAGTCGGGCGTGTCCTCCTACGGGGGGATTTTGGGCGAAAAAGAGAAATACTCAAAAAGTACCCTCCAAATGCTCAAAAATAGTCAAACAATCGTTCCCAGACTATTTTTGAACTATTCTTGAACTTTCCCCCTGTAGAGGGACACGCCCGACTTAAGATTATGCTGGTCGCAAGCGCTATTGTTCTTGAGTGGGGGGCGGCGAGGCCGACCGCGGCAAGCACCAATCGTAGATGCAGTTTCCTATGCTGAAGGGGCCCAGGGACACACACACACACATACATATATATATATATATATATAACAGGATTCCCCATAGTTTCCTGTATTGTTTAAAGGGTTTTTTGTCTCCCCCTCCTTCCCAGATGTTCCCATATTCTCTGGAGTATCGACGATTAGTTGTGTCTGTGTGTTGTTCCCCCTCCTGAATTATGCTGGTCGCGAGCACTATTGTTCTTCAGTGGGGGGCGGCGAGGCCGACCGCGGCAAGTACCAATCGTAGATACAGCTTCCTATGTGTAGATCAGGAGGGAAAGAACCACACAGACACAATTCATCGCCAACTCCCAGGAAACTGTGGGAAAATATGGTAGGTGGTGGGGACGCGAAATCCTAGAGCATAAGGGAAAATAGGGGGAATCCTGTTATTCTTTGTGTGTATTTGGTTGTGTGTCCCTGGGCCCCTTTGAGTGGATCTCATCGCGCCACGTCCTGGCCCCTCCTGCAGTATGCCGAGGGGAGCGGCAGCAGCTCGCGCAGCGGCTCGGTGACGAGGGCCTCCGGCTCGGCGCTGCCGGAGACGACCACCTGGCTGGACAGCGACCGTAGGGGGGGGGGGGCCCTACGTCTTGGCCTTCTGTCGGGCCTGTCCCCCTACAGGGGGATTTTGGACGAAAAATAACAAATCCTCCAAAACTACTCAAAAGATGCTCCAAACCCAGACTGTTAATTTACTTCGGAACAGCCCCCCTGTAGAGGGGCACGCCCGACCTAATCTTGGCCCCTCCCCATACCCAAGCATCCGACGCTCCAACAAGAAGTGGAGCGGGCGGTTTGTGGCTGTTTGCGGCATCAGGGGGCCCTCGCCGGGCCCCAGGGCCGTCCAAAAACGACTCGGGGCGACACAAACTGGCCCTGGGGAAGTTGCCCAGACCTCCAGGGCCCACGCATCGAACAAATTGGAGTAGCCGGATGTCGAGGTACGTCCCCTCGCCACTGCCCCATCCATCTGTCCCCCTTCCATCTCTCCTTCCCTCTCCCCCTCCCCCGCCCTGTTCGCCCCCGTCCCTCTCCATCGTCGCCCTCCCTCCCTCCCTCCTTTTGCCGTCGCTCGGACGTCCCTTCCCTGTGTTTTTGTCGGTTTCGTGCGTGTTTTTTTCGCCCAATGATCGAGGATGCTCCTCGATGGTCCTCGCCGAAGGAAAAATGCACACGTCCGAGCGATGCCAAGCCATTCCCCCCTCGCAGGCTCGAGTATACTATAACGGGGGACCGGCGCAGGGTGGGAAGCATCGACCTGGAAGCGGCGATGCATCGCCGATAAACCCGCGATGGGCCCCGAATAGCAAATCCGCCTGCTCATGAGGGTGGGGCTATCGGGCTCCACATCGGCGATGAGTGGGCGATTGGGGGTCGACGCGTCCCCCCCTGAGCCTGTCCCAAGACGAGGCCAGGGCGAAGAGAACATCGGTCGAGCATACATCGAGAATCTCTGCGATCCGGCGGCTCTGGAAGATGTCGCGGGCACCGCGGCCTTCTCAGAGCGTTGCGGAACGCTCTCAGAGCGCTCCAGAACGCTCTGGAGCGGAGCTATCCTCGTCCTAGCCCCGTCCGTCAACAGTCGATGTGGACTGCGAAGCGGGGACGTGTCCAGAACCACCGCCTGTGGGATCGATCTTCGGAAACCTCGGCAGGCCGCGGCTGTGGACGTATCTGGCCCCCCAGGGCCCGAATATAGTCATACCCATCGCCTGCTGAGGTGCCCAAAGATCGATGGCACAGGCGGTGGTTATGGATATCTCCACGCCTCGGCTGGACCGTTCCCCAAGATCGACGCCACTGACTGCTCTGGTCCCCCCCCTGACGTTATGTCGGGCGTGTCCCCCTACCGGGGGGTTTTCGACGAAAAATAAAACATATCCCGAAAATATGTCAAAAAGCTCAAAAAATACACCAAAAATACTCCCCTGACTATTTTTGGAATATTTTTTGAATATTCTTGAGTATTTTCTATTTTTCGTCGAAAATCCCCCTGTAGGGGGAAAGGCCCGACATAACCCGAACGTTGCCCCTGACCACCTCCGTCTCGGGGGCGCAGGTGGCCACCAGGAACTCCCGGCAGCAGGGCCCGGGGAAAATCGGCTGGGGCCGGAGCCGGCTGGGGGACTGGCGGCACACCAGGCAGGTAAAGATACGGCTGCACAGCGCAGGGCGGAGCCTAAACGGTGTTTTTCGTTGTCGTTTTTCGTTTTCGTTTTGTTTTTGTTTCTTGTTTTCGTATTGTTTTCGTCTTCGTTTTCGTTCTCGTTTTCGCTTCAATCCGCCTTTCCCGCAAAACGAAATCGAAAGGAAAACGGCCCACGAAATCGCCGAAACACCGTTTGGGTCCAGCTCTGCGGCTGCACACCGGGCAGGGAAGACCCGTGCACATCGATTGGAAACAGGCTGCAGAAACATTCAGCACGAAAATGCTTCGAGCTGGATGCACTTCGGCCCCCCCTCCCCCGAAAATGGAACGAGAACGGAATGACCTTTGCTGTCTTCAAAAAAGGAGTTGGACGAGCGCTGGGAGATGAAGAATGCCCTGCGTCGAAAGGCGCACGCAGGGGCGCTGGGCCACGCGAGGAGTTGGAGCCCTGCCGCGCAGCGGTCCAGTGGTTGTCCCTGCTGCGGGCCCTGGGACCCTCGCAGATCGGCGCGGCTCGAAACATGCCGCGGACGGGTGGGGTCCAGGGCTCGTGACTGTTCGCGATGTGGCAACTTTTTCGCCACGTCGGACCTCAATCGGGTCGGGCGAAAGGGGGGGATAGCAACGGGGGGGTTTGAGAATCAGCTCACGTAGCTGCTTTTCCCGGCGCCTCCCGGCGCCGGGAGGCGCCCATGTATCGAGGAATGGGCCCCTCGGTGGGGCCGAAACCAGCTGCATGCAGCAAATTTCGTGGCCCCCCCTTTCCCAATCCCCCCTTTCGTCTGGCCCGAGCGGTGCAGGGGGGAGCGCTCTGGCCTGAGCTGGAGCGAGCCCAAATTGCTGCACCATCGCCGAGCGCCCCCACATCACCGCGGCCGTGCCGCGTCCGAAGAAGAGGCCCCCCCTTTCCCAATCCCCCCCTTGCGCCCGGCCCGACTCAAAGGCTGCGGCGGCCCGGCACAGGCTGCTCCGGTCCGCACAGGGGGGGACGGAGAGAGGAGCCCCCGCGTGGCCACGGCCCGACGCGGCTCGAAGCGCTTCGTCGTCTTCAGCCGAGGAAGGTCGTTGGGGGCCCATTCTTGAAGGGGACCTGGGACACGGAAATAAATACACACAAATGAGAAGATCACCCAGCTTTTCCCATATCTTATGGGGTTCTGTCTTCCCCCCCCCGCTTCCCGTATTTTCCAATATTTTCCTGGGAGTGGACGAGTAGTTGTGCCTGTGTGCTTCTTTCCCTCCTGAATTCTGAGCGGAGTTGCCCCAGTCCCCCCCCCCTCCAATCCTCTCTGGGCCCATCCAGCTCAGACCCCCTGGTGCCCAAAAAACACATATCCGCACCCCTGGCCTCGCCAGCCGGGCACCTGGGCCGCGGCCCCCTGGGTACGAAGCGCTGTTGTCGCGGATGCCCCGCGCGGAGCATTTGCATGGGACCGCGTACTCCAGATTTCGTAATAAAAGGGAGGGGGTCTGGACCCTCCAAGACAAGCCATTTCAGACCTCCCCCGTGGGAGAACCCTCCAAAACATCGTCCCCAGACCCCCCCAAGCCCTCCAAGATAGCCTGGAAGAGACCCCCCCCCGAAATGAGACCCCCATTACGAAATCTGGAGTGCCCGCGGGATCTTTGTCGCTGCTCCCCGGGATCGTGCCCCAGAACCCGCGGGGGAGGAGGAGGAGGAGGAAGAGGAGGAGGAAGAGGAGGAAGAGGAGGAGGAGGAGGAGGAGGAGGAACAGCAGGAGCAGGAGGAGCAGGAGGAGGGGTCGTGCCCCAGAACCCAGACCGCGAGAGGGCGCGGATGCGGATAGTGCGGGGACAGCAGGCGGCCACAGCCACATCGAGGCCACGCCCAGGGGGGATGTCTTGCGCATGCCAAGACTTACCAGTCTCGAACGTATCCCTATCCCTAAGACTGACACGCCAAATGGCGATGACAATCTTAGGGATTTGCCCTCAAAGAATAAGGGAATCCCTAAGATTGGCATCGTGATGAGGAGATGCCCAGCATAGGGATAGGGATATGTTCCAGGCTGGTAACAGACTGTCGGAACACCGAAACCAGCTTCGTACTGGCTGTGGTCGATGTGGTCCCAGGACGGCCAAATCGACCACAACCACAACCAAAGTGCTCGTGTCGAGGCCAGTGAATTCTCCCCCCAAGGGACCTCCAGAACAAAACCCCTACAGGGGGATTTTTAGGACGAAAAAAAAGGACACTCGCAACAAATACTCAAACATTCCTACAAGTACTCAACAAATAGTACCCATAATCCAATAGCCCTTATAACTGCGACGAGGCGACGATCGAAAGCAGTGCCCCGGCACTGCTTTGAACGCGTTCAAAGCAGTGCCCCGGCACTGCTTTGAACGTATGATATGATGATATGATGATGATTATGATTGATGATGATGATGATTTTTCCAGCGTACACTGTCCGCAACTGCGGCAATCAACATCATGTTCCACTTGCCCGCAACTGCGGCCATCACCAACGCTGCCCCTCGAAGCTCCACGGAGAGCGCTCGGCAGGTCGCCCGCTCGAGCCCCACTCGACTTCACGCTGAGGAGGCGAGCCCTCAGGGGCATTGTCCGCAACTGCGGCATGATCAGAGGGCCACCACTGCGCGCCATCAGCGCCCCATTCGCTCGAGCTCCAGTCCCACCAGGACCAGCCCTGCCATCTCGTGGCGGGACTGCGCGCCTCCCATGCGCCGCTGCCGCTGGCGTCCCAGGACCCAGCCGCCACTGCGGCCCAAGAAGGGGTCGCATCGTCGCCGTTGGCAGCTTGCGGCGGTGGCGTGTTCCCAGCTCGCTCAGCCCCAGCGTCTCTCCCCGCAACTGCGGTTCCCATCTGGGGTCGGACGCCCTTCCCCGCAACTGCGGTGTCCGCGTAGCTGCCCTTCTTGCCGCCCTTCTTGCCGCCCTTCCTGCCGCCCTTCCTGCGTTCCAACCTCGCGGCGAGTCTTTCAGGTGACCTGCGGCACGTATTGTGCGTGAAAGCCACCAGAGGGAAGTGCGCTCCGTGCCTCGCCCTGCCGAAGGCGCCATGCCATATCTTGTCGTCGAGGTTGCCCTGCTTCACTCTGAAGGGATGGCGCACCCAATCGTCGCGTTCCCTGCGCGCCATCCTTTGCTCGAACTCCGCAACTGCGGTCAAGGATTCGCCAGATGGCGTCAGGAAGGCGCGCATCTTGTTTTCAACGGGCTCAGCCTTGGGCACGTAAGTCTGAAGCATCTTCCCAGGGCCATTCGTGTAGTCGAAGACAGGGAAAGACGGATCATGCTGGGTCGTCAAGAATCCGCCCTCACGGTCGTGCAGAACACTCAGGCCATGGTGAAGCTTGTACTGCCCAGGACAGTTTATGAACAAAATCGCCATGCTGTCTGCCCTGGGCTGGCCGCCTGCTGTCTTCCAGGGGGTCCACGCGGCGACGTCCACAGTCAGGCCGCAATTGCGGCACCAGGACACAAGCTGGAACATGCACATGTTGAAGTCCCCCATGCAGACCTTCACGTCCCATTCCCTGACGTAGGCGACGAACCAGTTGTAGAACTCATGGAGCTTCGTGACGCCCCAGTCTTGGTTGGCCAAGCTGTGGTGGACGTGCACCGCCATGACGTTGAAGGAGCCCCCCAAATGGGTCACGGCCTGGTCCAGGTGGACGCGCACCACCATCGCCCTGGAGTACTTGTTGTGCAGCTTTGGCGCAGGAGCCTCCGCAACTGCGGACTGTTTCTTCTTCTTCTTCGTTTTGGACTTCTCCTGCTTGTGGAAGAGTCTCGCAAAGTCTACGTGTTCAATGTGGCCGCCACTGCGGTCCCTCATGCCAACAAGGAGGGTCCCTGATGGCTCGCCGCCCTTAACGCACAGGTAGTTGTATTGAGTCCGACTCCGAAACCTATCGTCCGCAACTGCGGCTGCACTGTCCCTCGCGTCGTGCTCCCCACTGAGTACCGCGCAGGTCTCGTCGTCGCACTCGCAGAGGGCGATGATCTGGGCAGGGTTCGCGCGGAGCTGCGCCCACTCGTCCGCGCGTTGCGTGGGTCTAGCTGCAGTCCCTCCGAAGTTGGCCACGTAGAAGCCGACCCGTCCCGCTTCGAACTCCGTTTTCTCCTCCCATGCGTCGACAAGAGCTCTTTGTTTTTCCGACAGATTGCTTGTCTCGATGATGGGCACCCGTTTCCAGGGTCTCCGCGACGACAACACTCTCGGCATGTAGGAGTCATGTGCTGCCGCAACTGCGGCTCCCGCACCTCCCGGGACTCAGCCTCGTCAGCGGAGGCAGCCGAGGACGCGACGGTGCTGTCGCCATCTTGCGTCCGCTGGTCGTCGTCATCATCCGCAACTGCGGCTTCCTCGTCTTTGCCTCCCTCCTCCTCCTCAGCGTTGTGGATGAACACCGTTCTGGCGAATCGAGGTCCACGGTCCATACTCCCTGAGGATGCGCTCGGGCGCGCGGGCGGCCACATGCTTGCGTCTTCGCGTGCGCCACCTCGAGCCACGGTGGCTACGGAAATGGATCGTGAATGGGCATGGGGTCGGATGGAGGGAGGAGACAAAGAGGATTCGAGGAGTGGCAGAAGGAGGGCGAGGACTCAAAGGAACCGAAAGAACAACAAATGGACTGGCGGAGAAGCAGAAGGAGGGCGACGATTGCAAGGGACTGTGATAGGATTATTTTCACAGCAGCAGGAAGACCGCAACTGCGGTTTTGCCTCATCTCCTGCCCGCGCGGGAGCCGCTTGGAAAAACAACTTCCCTCTGGACTTCCTGTGGGTCCGCAACTGCGGCCTGCATCACGCTAGGGCTGGGATTACCAGCGCCATTTGCCCTCCCAGGGTTCTCACTGTTTCCGAATGCACGAACTGCGACAGCGCCGAACGGTTCCCAGACGCCGCGTCGTTCGCGACTTTTTGCAGCCACCCAGCAAACGTGAGCGGCCATTGCTCCTTGTGCTGCTTGCACATCTCCTCGTC